CCCCGTTTTACAGAAGGGAACACTGAGGTTTCAAGTAGGGGAGCGATCTGCCAGGGTCACATGGTGGATCAGTGGCAGAGGGAGGCCTGGAGCTCCAGTTGTCTGACTTGTTGGTCCAGGTTCTCACGGCCTGCTCAGCCCTCCCAGAGCTCCTGCCCTCCCTACTCCCTTTTGGATTTTCTCCTACCTTGAGGCTGACATTGCTGGTGGTACCCTGGGCTAGGTTAGAGTAGCTCCGGCTACCCCGAGGCCTGGGAAGGAAACACAGGGGGAAGAGAATGAAGCAGCTGCCTCCTGTCCCAACACCATCAGCCCCAGCCTTGACCCAGAGTTCTCTCCCCCAACCTTTTCTCAGGGTCCAGAGCCTAGCAGGATGAATTCCTAAAATATTTTGGGGAAAGTCTATGTGGCAGCCTCTTCTCTGCTCCCTCTCCCAGCTGTCCACTTTACCCCCAGAGGCAAAGAAAGAGACAGGAATGGGCTTGGACGCAAAATGGGGACTGGGCCTGTATTGGGGCTTGAATACAGGGAAAGACAGTGCCCGATAATGCCAAAGTTGGCCATTTGCTGAGGCCCTCCTGTGTGCCAGGCTTGACATTGTGTCTACATGATCTCCCCTAAGCCTCACAGTAATCCTAGAAGGTGAATATTAGTGCCCCTGTTTCTTAGATACGGAAAGTGAGGCCCAGAGAGGTGAAATGACTTGCTTAGACTCCACTGCAAAGGTTGGCTGGACACCACGGCACGAATGGGGGCTAGGTGGGAAAGCACCTTGGCTCCTCCTCTGCACACTCTGTACCCTCAGCAATCAGCAGGGATCAGTCTCCTGCCTCCACACCAGTGTCCCATTCCCAGGGCTGGTGAGAATGGAGAGCAAGTGCAGCATGGCCAAGAATCATCACGCTGGCTCTGCCAGGAGCCTGAGCAACCCCTCCTAACCCTCCCCACCCCTGACTCATTTGTACCTCTAAGTCCAGAGAGGGAGGGGCAGTGCCACCTGGGCCTATAGGGCAGGTTTCTGCCAGACAGGGTAAAGGGGGAGGGCGTGTCTTCCAGGCGGGGGCGGGCAGGGCACTGGCAGGGTGTGAACACCCCAGGGCACCCAGGCTTCCAGGCACAGTGTGACTGGGCCCTCCTCTCCTCTCTCTTTAGGGTGAGAGAGCAGTACAAACCCCTGCCCTCATTTTGCCCCCACCACACCCCCACCCCTCCTGGTGGAGACAACTGTGCCATGATAAGATCAGAACAAATTGCCAGGAAACTGGGCAGACACATAAACACCCATGCGTGAGAGCATATCCCATGCTCTTCATAGATAAAGGGCCAGTGAGCTACAGGGCTCCCTTGGATTCTCAATACTGCTTTCCCTGCCTTTCGACTTGACCTTCCACAGGATGTTTTCCCTTCTGTTTAAAACATTCTAAAGTTTTAAAAGAGCACAAGGAGCCACGTGTGGTGGCTCACACCTTTAATCCCAGCACTTTGGGAGGCCGATGCAGGAGGATCAGGAGGTCAAGAGTTCAAGACCAGCCTGGCCAACATGGTGAAACCCCATCTCCACTAAAAATACAAAAAATTAGCTGGGCATGGTGACATGTGCTTGTAGTCCCAGCTACTCGGGAGGCTAAGGCAGGAAAATTGTTTGAACCTAGGAGGTGGAGGTTGCAGTGAGCTGATATCATGCCACTGCACTTCAGCCTGGGTGGCATGTGAGACTCCATCTCAAAAAAAAAAAAAGTTAAAAAATAAAAAATAAGAGAGCCAGGTGCAGTGGTTCACATCTGTAATCTTAGCACTTTGGGAGGCAGAAGGTAGATAGCTTAAGCCAGGAGTTTGAGACCAGCCTGGGGAACATGGTGAAACCCTGTCTCTGCAAAAAATCAGCCAAGTATGGTGGCATGGGCCTGTAGTCCCAGCTACTCAGACGTCTGAGGTGGGAGGATCACCTGAGCCTGAGGGGAGGCTCAGGGCCAGGCCGAGGCTGCAGTGAGCTGTGATAGTGCCACTGCACCCCGGTGTGGGCAACAGAGCAAGATCCCATCTCAAAAAACGAATAACTAAATAAATAAAAAATAAAGGTCGGGCGCGGTGGCTCAAGCCTGTAATCCCAGCACTTTGGGAGGACGAGGCGGGCAGATCACGAGGTCGAGATTGAGACCATCCTGGTCAACATGGTGAAACCCCGTCTCTACTAAAAATACAAAAAATTAGCTGGGCATGGTGGCGTGTGCCTGTAGTCCCAGCTACTCAGGAGACTGAGGCAGGAGAATTGCCTGAACCCAGGAGGCGGAGGTTGCAGTGAGCCAAGATCGCGCCATTGCACTCCAGCCTGGGTAACAAGAGCGAAACTCCGTCTCAAAAAAAAAAAAAAAAATATATATATATATATATGAGCACAGGGAACGTTTCACATTCACATCCAAAATCGTGGTACACTGGTACATATATTTTTAAGCTTCAAGATACTCATACACACTTATTTGATCAGCCACAACACTCTATAACACACACACACACACACACACACACACACCCTCAGACATCAGCTACCAGAGCACAGGCTTGAAGAGGTGAAGCAATCTGCTCAGGGTCATATAATCAGTGGCACCTACAGCTAGGAGCTGCCCCCCCACCCCACTTCCTGCTGAGGGCAACAGAGCTTCAGAAATGTGGGCTGGCTCTGAAGTCAGACTGCTGAAGCCTGTGTCCTGGTTCCACCACATCCCAGCTGTGTGACTTTGGGCAGGTGATGTCACCTCTCTGAACCTTCTTTTCCGTATCTGAATCATGCAGAATACCTGCTTCATAGGGCTGCTGTGAGGATTTCGTGAGATAATCCAGGTGAAGTTATGAAGCATGTGGCAAATAAAGGCTTATTGTTATTACTATCTAGAGCTATCTCCAGGGGTGGGGACGACAGGGGAAAATCTCTCCGTGGCATCTAAGGGCAAATGCAGTACAGTCTCAGACGGAACCTGTCAGGCTCATGACAAAGGGATATGAAGACATCAGCTGTGATGAGAGAATCAAAGTCCACAGGTGAGGGAGGAACTACTGCTTTTGCCTCTCAACTGTCTCTGCCGTCTGCAGGCTGCCTGCCTCACTTGGGAAAATGTCCACTAAGTTGTAAAAAGAGCACAGGGACCATTCCACATTCACATCCAAAATCGTAGTACATTAGCACATATATTTTTATGCTTCGGGAGATACACATACATGCTTATTTGATCACTACGCTCACACATGCGAACACACACGTTCTAGGGCCCGAGGGCGCCCACCCAGCACCCGGCCTTTCTCCATCTCCCCTCACCTATCCCGGGATATGGCCTCCGAGGTCTTCTTCCGGCTGTGCTCCCTCCGGACCCCTAGCCCGGCCAAGAGGCCGACCAGGCAGGCCCTTGGGCCTCCGCACCGCTCAGCCATGGCGAGTGAAAGACCCGGGGCTCTCGGGGCCATAGGAGTACCTGACCGCCGGGGCTACCCGCATCCGCTGCATTTGCGGAGAAACGCCTCCTCCGGCCCGGCCCCCTGAGCAAACAGCGGCCCCACCCGCAGCCCATGCGGGCGGTGACCCGATCCAGATGCTACCCATGCCCTGGGGCACTCTCCAGGACCCCCCCCGCCAACCTCATTGTTCTCCCCCGACCTCGGACCGTAGACCCAAGACCTTTGGCAAGAGCCCACGCCCCCACCCCGGGAGCCCCTGTTCTCCGCTGTGTCCGCGCTACATCTTCAAGCTCCTGGAGGCGCCAGGGTCCCATGCAGCCCCCTGTGAGCTAGCCCGGGAGCAAGACCTGCATGAAGTCGGGCAGGGAAAGTGGCCTGGGGCGAGCAAAGGCCGGGAGGTGCGGCTGAGCTAGGGGGCTCCAGGAGGAGCCGGAGGGCTGGGCGCGGGTGGCCAGTCCGGGGACGGGTCCGGAATGGGCATGGTCTGCCCGACTGGGCGGAGCCTAACGCGAGCCGTTGATGTCTCGCGCGGGGCCCAAGGTGTGACAGGGGTGGGCTTGGAACCCGGACCTTAGCTACTGGTAGGGTCGAAGTCCACTCTGCTGCCATCGTTCTGCCGCAGTCAGTGGGGTTCGCTCCTACCTGTGGGAAGCACCTACAGCCGAGAGCGGGAATCCCGTCACCACTGCGGTGGGAAAGCCGCTCAAAAACCTACGGGGTGCAGACGGCGCCACCTCCAGGAAGTCGGCCGGAGAACCCCATTCTGTCCACAAATCTCTTAATAACAGCTATCGTCGATTGTGATCCTAACCTGGGCCTCCTGCCTCCCAGGCAGTACCCTTTTCCGCCTGGCGCTGCCTCTGTGACTCGAGTGGGGATGGGGAGCACCTTGCACATTTCAGAGGCTCCTCCGGGCCTGCAGAGGAAAGGGCCATCAGGTGGGCCTCAGCTCCTCAGGGTCTCTGCCAGTTCTTTTCTGCCTGTAGCCCTGATCTGGCTGCAGCCTCCATGCCGTCCCTGAGTCTGGCACCCTGTTAGCCCAGAGTGTTGTGGTAACTGGCCCCGGTTCACAGAGGACATCATGCTTCTGGGTCGTGCGTGAGTGGACGCTGATATCTTGAGTCTCCTTCCTAGATATCCCCGCAATGAGGGGCATCGCCACAACGACCATGCAGGGAATACCGGCTGAGGGGCATGTGGTGGCAACATAGGAATGGTGAGACCCAGGTGGTGGGGGCAGCAGGACCCTCTCAGGCGTTGGAAACAGCACAATGTGCCCATGCTGGGCAGCACGGTCAGCACCCTACAGCCCACTGGAAGGCTGGCTGGCTGTCAGTGAGTAGACAAGGAGGGCCTGGTCCTAGATGGGGCGTGGAACCCAAGCCCAGCGGAGGCAGATGGCTGCAGGCACAGGCAGTACAGGCTCTTCCCAGGGGAGTCCCCTGACCTGCTCCCAGGTGAAGTGTGAAATCTGGCAAATACATGGTGGCTTACCCCCACTGCCCCACCCCCACCCAACTGTTGAAGCTCAGGAAGCCTCATTGCATTAAAGAAGAAACGCTTTTAATTGTTCTGCCCCTGCCCCCTCCCAGGGGAGTCCTGGCACTGCTCAGGGGGCTCACTGCTCTTGCTTTCCCCTGGGATGTCAAGGACACCTTGACCTCCTCTGTCACAGCCCATGTGTTTCTCTGATGCCACCGCCATAAGATCTAGTGCCCCCTGGTGCCACTGGGCAAGGCAGGCCGGAGGGTCCAGGGGCAACTGAGTGTGCACCAGGCCACAGGGCTGTGGGGCATGCAGCCGATTGTGCAGCTTCAGGTGGATGTGCTGAGTGAATTGACTCCGGCAGACCCTGCACTGGAAGGGCCGGTCCCCCGAGTGCAGGCGCAGGTGAGTCTTGAGGTTGCTGGAGCTGCTAAAGCGCTTGCGGCACACCTGATGGGAACGGGCACTGGCATCAGCTTTGTCTTCTGGGCTGGCTCAGGTGTTCTACTCCCTCTCCTCTTCTTGGAAATACCCATAACCCACTTCTCTTTCCCTCCAGGCCTGGAAGCTTTTCCAGTGATTTCTCCCTAGGACCCACAGTATCTAGCACATTAAAACAAGGCTGACTTGGGTTAGTGTCCTTTTTTTTTTTTGAGACGGAGTTTCGCTCTTGTTACCCAGGCTGGAGTGCAATGGCGCGATCTCGGCTCTCCGCAACCTCTGCCTCCTGGGTTCAAGCAATTCTCCTGCCTCAGCCTCCCGAGTAGCTGGGACTATAGGCGTGCACCACCATGCCCAGCTAATTTTTTGTATTTTTAGTAGAGACGGGGTTTCACCATGTTGACCAGGATGGTCTCGATCTCTCGACCTCGTGATCCGCCTGCCTCAGCCTCCCAAAGTGCTAGGATTACAGGCGTGAGCCACCATGCCCAGCCTAGTGTCCTTTTACTCCCATGTGTGACCTTGTAAAAGTAACTTTTCCTCTCTCAGCCTTTTTCTCCTCATTGGTGATGTTGGTAATTAATACCTAGCTTCATTGATATGGTGGATTGAATGAGATAATCACATAGAACTCTTAGGTGTGAAGCTGCAGTTTCAATGGATATAATTAACATTTACTGGGGTCTGCCACATGCCTGCAGTTGGTTTCACCTAGTCTTCCCCAGGACTCTGGGGAAGCATGACTAAGTACTAGCACAACTCCTATATTATAGTAAGAAAGCAGAGGCTCAGAGGAGTGAAGCCACTAGCCAAAGGTCACACAGAAAGTTGGAAGGACAGCTAGGATTTGAACACAGGTGGCCTGACTCTGCAGCCCAGACTCCATCATGACACCACTTTCATTTCTGCCCCTGTAAAATGGGAAAGAACCCCTACCCTTTTGACTTCCCAAGGGATGTGACCAGCTCATGGAAGGTGAAAGCTAACATCGATCTAATGGGTTTTTTTACTTGGATACTCTGGGTACACTATAGCATTAACTCCTACAACAACTCTGGGAGGTAGATAATGGGTATCCACTCTCCATGACTCCCAACTTCTTTTTTTTCTTTTTTTCTTTTTTTTTTTATTTTTTGAGGCAGAGTCTCACTCTGTCACCCAGGCTGGAGTGCAGTGGAGCCATCTCAGCTCACTGCAACCTCTGCTTCCCGGATTCAGGCAATTCTCCTGCCTCAGCCTCCCGAGTAGCTGGGACTACAGGCACGTACCACCATGCCTGGCTAATTTTTTTGTATTTTTAGTAGAGACAGTGTTTCACGGTGTTAGCCAGGATGATCTCAATCTCCTGACCTTGTGATCTGCCTGCCTTGGCCTCCCAAAGTGCTGGGATTACAGGCGTTAGCCACCACGTCTGGCCAACCCCCAATTTCATTGTTCTCTCCCATACATCTCGAGACATACATCTCGATTCCCTCCTCCAGGCCCTTGGAGTGACCTTCAGTATTACCCATTCCGGGCTGAGGGATCATTTTTAATTTTCACTCCCCCTTCCCATCTCCACTTGGTCAGGAGGACTGGGAAATGGAGGCTGCTGGTGCCATCCTTCCAAGGGCCTAAAGCTCCTCACCAGCTATAGGAGGACAGGGCAGGGGGAGGAGGATCTCACCGGGCACTTGTGGGGCCGCTCCCCAGTGTGCACCAGGTGGTGCTTCTGCAGGTGGGCGAGCTGGGTGAAGCTCTTCTGGCACAAGGCACACTGGAATGGGCGCTCCCCGCTGTGCACACGCAGGTGGACCTGAGTCAGACGTGGGAGAAATGCTGCCAAGTGCCCAGAACCCCCAGCAGGGTCCTCTCTGAAACTCTGCCCACTTCCCTGTAGGACCCCTTATTGGCATTCAGGCCTCTCAATCCCTCTCCCTCCCTGTCATCTCCCTCAGGGCCCATCATCCCCAGGATACTTCCACTCTTTCTGCTGCCCTGTAGAGGGGATGGCAGTGGTCAGAAGGCCAGGTAAAAGGTACCCCAGGTGTATTGTGGAGCACTGCTATTCAAAATGTGGTCCACAGACCAGCAGCACTGGTATCACACTTTGGGAGCTTGTTAGGAATGCAGGTTCTCAGGCCCAGCCCCAGACCTGCTGAATAAAAAACTCTGGGAGGGCAGGGCACACGCTCATGGCTGTAATCCCAGCACTTTGGGAGGCTGAGGAGGGAGGATCACAGGATCCCAAGAGTTCAATGCCAGCCCGAGAAACACAGTGGGACCCCTTCTGTACAAAAAATTTAAAAATTAACCAGGTGTGGTGGTGTATGCCTGTGGTCCCAGCTACTGGGGAGGATGAGGCGGGAGAATCCCTTAACCCCAGGAGTTTGAGACCAGCATGGGTGACAGAGTGAGACCCCATATGAAAACAACAGGTAAAAATAAAAAATAACTGGAGCTGGGAGCTACTCTGGAGGTTGAGGTGGGAGGATCGCAAAAACTCCAGGAATCTGCGTCTTTACTAGCTCTCCAGGTGGTCTAAGGCTCATGAAAGTTTAAGAACTCCTGCCCTGCAGGATCCAGTAGGGCTTTTCCCTGTAACCACAAAGTGCCCTCAACTTCAGCGCCAGCCAGCTAGTGCACAACTTCCGGCCTTTGCTAACGCACTGAGATGCTCCCTTGGGCGCCCCCTGCTGGGCGATGCATATGGTGAGGCCAATTGCATCGGCAGTCGCACCAATTTGTGGGAATCCCATTTGAAAAAGGTTGGCCATCAGACTGTGGTCTAGAATCACCAAAATCCACCCATTCCCTCATCTGACTGCCCAGAAAAAAATAAATAAGAAGCTTAAGTGGGAGTCCAGAAAGGATGGTTGTCCAGGAAAAGGCTTTCTTTGCCCAGAGCAAATGTCGAGAGACTAAACCTAACACTACCATTAAATTGGGGTAATCTTAGGCAAACACTGCCCAATAAAAGCCTGAGTCTCCCCATATTTTCTAAGACAGAGTCTTGCTCTGTCGCCCAGGCTGGAGTGAGTGGCGTGATCTCAGCTCACTACAACATCTGCCTCCCGGGTTCAAGCGATTCTCCTGCCTCAGCCTTCCGAGTAGCTGGGACCACAGGTGCACGCCACCACACCCAGCTAATTTTTGTAATTTTAGTAGAGACAGGGTTTCACCATGTGACCATGCTGGTCTCGAATTCCTGACCTCGTGATCCAGCTGCTTCAGCCTCCTAAAGTGCTGGGATTACAGGCATGAGCCACCATGCCAGCCAGTCTCCCCATTTTAATCTAAACGAGATATCTAATAGGCAGTCCTCTAAGGTGGCGAGGACTTTGGTGGCCATCTTACCCGATGTCTCCATCCAAATGAATCATTCCAGGTCACTAGGCCCTAGAGGCTACCCAGGAATGCCTTCAAGCTTTGAGGTCCTTGCTTCTAGAATCAGATTGGGGTGCATGGGGGGCCCTGAAGGATATTGAAGGGAGCAGCAGAGCCCAGGAGGCAGATACCTTGAGATTGGAGAGCTGCCCAAAGCTCTTGCCACATACGTTGCACTCGTACAGGATTTTGCCATTCTCCTTTTTCAGCGGGTAAGGCAGGGCTGCAGCGCCTGTCCGGGAACTCACAGGGAACTGCCTTGCTGGAGATGCCATGCCACCACGCTTCAGGCCTGGGGAGTCAGTTGGGGCAGCTCCAGTGCCTTGATTTCGGGCCTGGGAAGGTGGGGCTTGGCCAGAGGCTTGGAAGGCCCTTGGGTAGGAAAGCAGGGTCTCCCACCCAGCGCTGTGGTGCCCAGCTTCATTGACCATCATCATCAGGCCAGGCATAGCCATGGTGGGGTAAGAGGTATCTTGGGGCAGCATAAGGAGGTGGGGACATGGGTCAGAAGGTAGAGCTCCATAGGTGAATGGGTAGGGTGGAGGCAGGAGAAGTGGGTATCCAGGGTAGAAGGTATGGAGGCGGAATGGGAGCTCCTTGGAGATGGAGGTGGCAGGGGGGCAGGGGCAGAAAGCCAAGGGTCTGGGGCTCTTTCTATTCTGCAGCGGTGGTGGGGAAGAGCTGTTATGAGGCAAGAAGGCTTGGCAGGGGGCCCCCTCGCCAGCTTTTTCTGGCTGTTTTCCCATCTCGTCCTTATTCCATGGGCGCTTGACTGTGAGTTTGTTGTCCTCGGTGGATCTAGTATGCAACCCTGGTGGCTGGTGCTCTAAGCAGGAAAAGGAAGGTGGTCAGAGCCCCACAGTCTGGGATGAAGTTCTGTTCCCCATCAAACCCCATCAAACCTGCCCAGCTCGGGGCTGAGAAAGACCTCCAGCCTGCAAGCCTGCTAGCATTTCTGCAGTGCCGAACAATTTCAGGGGGAGAAAACAGTCCAAGGTCCCTATTAGACACCTAGGTTGAGAAATCAGGTGGGCAGATGGATAACTTGGGTTGGAGTTTAAAGGAAAGGTCTGATTAGCCGGGCAAAGTGGTGGGCACCTGTAATCCCAGCTTTTTGGGAGGCTGAAGCAGGAGAATCACATGAACCCAGGAGGCAGAAGTTGCAATGAGCCAAGATCTGGCATTGTACTCCAGCTTGGGCAACAGAGCAAGACTCTGTCTCAAAAAAAAAAAAAAAAAAGGAGAGGTCTGAGCTGGAGACATAAATCTGGGTGCCCTGGGTACAGATAAGATCACACAAGGGTGAGGCTAGATATGCTGTGTCCAAAATAGCAGCCACTGGACATGCGACTGGATTTACAATAATTAAAATGATTATAATAAAAAATGGGCCAGGCGCAGTGGCTTATGCCTGTAATCCCAGCACTTTGGGAGGCCAAGGCAGGCGGATCATGAGGTCAGGAGATTGAGAACATCCTGGCCAACATGGTGAAACCCTGTCTCTACTAAAAATACAAAAATCAGCTGGGTGTGGTGGTGCGTGCCTGTAATCCCAGCTACTTTGGAGGCTGAGGCACGAGAATTGCTTGAACTCAAGAGGTGGAGATTTCCGTGAGCCGAGATCATGCCACTGACTCCAGCCTGGCAACAGAGCGAGACTCCATCTCAAAAAGAAAAAAAAATCATAATAGAAAATGAAGTTCGTCAGTTGTACCAGTCACATTTACAGTGCTCAGCAGGTATGATATTGGACAGCACCGGCATAGAATGTTCCCATTATTGCAGGGAGTTCTGCCAAACAGTGGTATTCTAGGTAGATAAAGAGTACTAAAAGGATAAACCTATTAAAAAGTAAACTGTCAGGCAGGTACAGTGGCTCATGCATGTAATCACAGTGATTTGGGAGACTGAGGCAGGAGGATTGCTTAAGCCCAGGAATTTGACACCAGCCTGGGCAACAAAGCAAGACCCCATCTCCACAAAAAATAAGAAAATTAGCCAGGTGTTTGTGGCACATATCTATAGTAGTCCCAACTACTCAGAGGACTGAGGAGACAGGATTGCTTGAGCCCAGGAGTTGGAGGCTGCAGTGAGGTGTGATTGTGTCATTGCACTCCAGCCTATCTCAAAAAAAAAAAAAAAAAAAGCAAGTGATCTTCTGCTTGGGTCCTTATTTATTTACTCAATCAACCTCACTGAGCTGTTTCACTCTGTGCTCTGTGCTGGGGTCCTAAAAATAAAGGACACAGTAGGAGAGTCCTTGCCCTCCAGGAGGACAACATTACATAAGGAAATGGTGTGTTACAACAAACCTAGAACACAGGTATAGCCGAGATCCCACTTTTGTGGATGAAGAAACCAGACCTTGGTGTTATGCCCAGGTCCACAGAAACAGAAAGGGCAGAACAAGGACTCCAACCCCGATTCCCTGACTCCCAGCTCAGTGCTCTTCTAAGATGCCTAGAGGGCTGGGCATGGTGGCTCACCTCTATAATCCCAGAACTTTGGGTGGCTGAGGTGGGTGAATCACCTGAGGTCAGGAGTTCAAGACCACCCTGGCCAACATAGCAAAACCCTGTCTTTACTAAAAATACAAAAATTAGCTGGGTGTGGTGCTGAATGCCTGTTATCTCAGCTACTCTGGGGGCGGTGAGGCAGGAGAATCACTTGAACCCGGGAGGGGCAGAGGTTGCAGTAATCTGAGATCATGCCATTGCACTCGAGCCTAGGCAACAGAGTGAGACTCCATCTCAAAAAACAACAACAACAAACAAATAAACAAACAAAAACCTCTCTAGGCAGACAAAGTACCATCCCAACCCCCATGACCTTGGCCATGCCTACACCACCTCCCACACACATGCCTGAGAAGCCAGTGCTCAGCTCCCCTGGCTCAGGTACCACCACTTGAAAGCCCCCTGCACCCTCAGGCCAGAACTCCAAGGCCAAAATATGGAAGTAAAGTGTGTCTAAGGCTCTGTCTTCATTAGAGACACTGAGTCCTCTCCACCACCCAACCCCACACCTAGCAGTGCCCCCCACCTCCAGCCTCTGCCAGATGCAGGTGCAGCCCTGTGCCCTGGGCTTACTCATGCTCAAGGTGTCCTCTTGGAGGCCCTGCAGGGCTGTGCTCAGGGGTGCTGGCTGTGGGGTGCACAAGTTCAGGTCCAGGTCCTGTAGGCAGGCTAGCAGGGCAGACCTGCCTAGTGCCAGTGGCAAGGGACACAGCCAGCTGGCACAGGATGGGCCATGAGCATCCAGTGTGTCTGGAAGTGGTCTGCAAGCTGAGAAGACCTGGAGGGCAGTGGCAAGGGGCTTGGGGGCTGGTGACTGGGATTCCATGGGTCCCTTAGATGGCTCCCACCCCTATTTTGGTTTCTAAAGGGAAGAATAAGCTAAAACAGCCACCATACTCCATATCTGTCACTCAAATGGCGTCTTCTTCCCTTATCCAAAGTTCTCTTCCCCCAGGATTTTCCCACTCACTGCAAGATTGTCCCCAGGGCCCCTCTAGCCCTGTTCTCCCTCCCTCCCCCATGCACCTCTGACCACCCTGGTCCCCAGTGTATCTCAGACATCACTGTAATTTGAATGCACCAAGGTGAACCCAAAGAAAATCCCCATCAGAGACTATAAACTCCACAAGATGGCCCTGAGCTCCTGCTTACTAAGGTCCAAGGCCATGGTCATCCAGCCAAGCCTGTTGCATGAGGCTTATTCTTATTCCCCACAGGAGAGTCTGGGCCACCTGAGGCATGGGGAGAGGGTCTCTGGCTCCTCAAGAGACCCTTTCCCCATGCCTCAGGTGGCCCAGACTCTATGATGTGCCTGGGGTAGGGAGTGCTCAGGACCAGGGAGGAGGTCTAGGTCCCTTCAGACATTCCCCTCCTTCCTCCTAATGCCATCTCCTACCATAAGCAGACTACCCACAAAGGTAAGGCTGGGATTCTACCTTACCTGGTCACCTTGGAAGAGCTGGAAGTCCAGGCTGGGGGACAGGGAGCCCCCTGTACCTCCCAGGGCCTGTGACTTGTGGCAACAACCCAATTATGCAGCTGGTTCTTCCTTCATGTCCCCATTACCTGCTGGGAAGACAGGTATGTTACAGGTAAGCTGTGAAGGTCCTCCAAATAAGAGTCTGAATTCCAGGACTGGCTGTCCTATTAATGTGCTGTGTGACCACAAGCTATTCACTTCCCTTCCTGGCCTCAGTTTCCCTATCTGCAAAATGGGAAGGTTGGACTAATTGATGTGTAAGGATTCTCTGTGTTGACATTGAGAAGCCAGTGATGCTCTCCTGATAGGTGTGGGAAGATTAAATAGGGATCAGGTGTGGTGTCTCAAGCCTGTAATCCCAGCACTTTGGGATGCTGAAGTGGGAGGATTTTTTGAGGCCAGGAGTTCCCAACCTATTTTGTAGAGATGAGACTCCCATTTCTACAAAGTAAAAAAATATGGCAGGCGTGGTGGCTCACACCTGTAATCCCAGAACTTTGGGAGTCTGAAGTGGTTGGATCACCTGAGGTCAGGAGTTCAAGACCAGCCCAGGCAACATGGTGAAACCCTGTCTCTACTAAAAATACAAAATTAAGCCAGGCTTGGTGGCTCACGCCTGTAATCCCAGCACTTTGGGAGGCCGAGGCAGGCAGATCAAGAGGTCAAGAGATCGAGACCATCCTGGCCAACATGGTGAAACCCCGTCTCTACTAAAAATACAAAAATTAGCCAGGTGTGGTGGCATGCACCTGTGGTCCCAGCTACTTGGGAGGCTGAGGTGGAAGAATAGCTTCGACCCAGGAGGTGGAGGTTGCAGTGAGCCAAGATTGCGCCACTGCAATCCAGCCTGGTGACAGAGCAAGACTCTGTCTCAATAAAAAAAAAAATTAGCTGGGCTTGGTAGTGCAGGCCTGTAATCTCAGCTACCCAGGAGGCCAATGCACAGGAATTGCTTGAACCCGGGGGGTGGAGGTTGCAGAGAGCCAAGATCGTGCCCCTGCACTCCAGCCTGGGCAACAGAGTGAGACTCCATCTCAAAAAAAAAAAAAAAAAGAGGGGGAAGCCCAGGTGGGTGGATCACCTGAGGACAGGAGTTTGAGACCAGCCTGTCCAACATGGTGAAACCCCGTCTCTACTAAAAATACAAAAATTAGCTGAGCGTGGTGGCTCATGCCTGTAGTCCCAGCTACTCAGGATGCTGAGGCACAAGAATCGCTTGAACCTGGGAGGTAGATGTTGCAGTGAGCCAAGATCTCACCACTGCACTCCGGCCTGGCAACAGAGTAAGACTCAGTCTCAAAAATAAATAAATAGCCTGGTCCAAAGGTAGTGAGTTATCTCAGTTGATTCTTCACAGTCAGTTACAGATCAAACTCCTTGTTCTATTCTTCCCCCCTTCTCACTACTGCACTGGACTAGTCTTTAAAAAATTTTTTTAAGTAAAAAAAATTAAATGTAAAAAATAAATAAGCTGAGTCTAGTAGCCTGTGCCTATGGTCCCAGCTACTCAGGAGGCTGAGGCAGGAAGATTGCTTGAGCCTGGAAGGTTGTGGCTGCAGTAAGCTGAGATCACACCACTACACTCTAGCCTAAGTGATGACAGAGCAAGACCCCATCTCAATCAATCAATCAACCAATCAATGGAGGTTAGCCAATCAGAGGTGAGGAGCAGGGCTGTCTTGAGAGAAGAAAGGAAGGTCCTCATGGAGGTTACTTCCACATGAGTGCAGAGATCTGAGGGAACATTCCAGATTCTTCAGGACAACAGAGAAGTCACCCCATTCTGTGCTGAGAAGGGTCCCTGACTCTACCAACCAGAGGCCCCCCCACCACGGGGAACATTGCATCCTCGCTCACCCAGACGGATCTTCTGGACAGCTGAAGACTCCAGTGTCCTGTCACCCAGGATGGCCAGCTCAGCACTCTCACCTGGGATAAAGCCTGAGTGAGTGGACCAAGACCCTGGATGCCCAACTGGCCCAACGGAAAGACACGAGTGCCCAGCAGTCTGGTTACGCAGCACCAGGCTTCTCTGCCATCTTCCACGTGAGGCCACACAGCACAGGGATCATCTCAACTCAGTGAATGCCCTAACACCCCTTCCCCGTTCCCACAGGGATCACCCTTTGAACCCCAAATGCCCCTCAGACCCTAAAACCCTCACTCCAGTGTCTCAGCCCTCCAAAACTCCTTCTCCTTTCCCTCTTTCCTCACTCCTCCCAATGCTGCTTTAGATCTCAAAGCAATACCGTGGCCCCTGAAGTGCCGCTGGCTGTGGGCCTCTCCACTGGTGCTGCAGTAGTGCTCCTGGCTGGGAAGGAAGGAGGTGGGCAGCCAGGCAACAGCTGCCTGTGGCTGAGGCCCCAGTGGGAGTGAGAGATGGCAGGAAGGTGTTACATTTGAAGTTGCCACAGATAGGAAGTGGGGGCAGGCAGGCCTGACAAGGGGGCACTATCCACTCAGCTTTGCCTACCTGTGGCAACTCTGGAGGACAACTTTCTGGTGTGGATTGCAATGAACTGGGGCTACTGGAATTTCAGGATGTGTATGTGAGGGGGTGGGAGGCTGTTATTTCTGTTCTCTAAGAACCCAGATGGCTGGGCAGGAGGACAGAGTTGGTTCAAAGGCTGGATGGAGTGGGGCTTCTGCGGAGGGGAGACAAGCTGAGATGGAGGATGGAGACAAGCATTGATGATGACAGAGAGACAGTGATGGTGACAGGTAGGGACAGGAACAGGCAGAGACAAGAACAGGCAACATAGAAGGGTATGGAATGAGATAGAGACCAGAGCAGGCCCCTGATCTCACAGAGACACAGCAAACATGTTTTTCTCCTGCTGGTCCCATCTCAGATCTCCTGACCCTGGAAAGTTCTATCTTCTAATCTAGAGGCCCCAAGAGGCAAAAGATAAATTCAAGGACATGGCCAGGTGCAGTGGCTCACACCTGTAATCCCAGCAATTCAGGAGACCAAGGCAGCCACATCTCTTGAGCCCAGGAGTTTGAGACCAGCCTGGGCGACAAAGCAAGACCTCATCTCTATGAAAACTACAAAACGTAGCGGGGCATGGCAACTTGCACCTATGGTCCCAGCTACTCAGGAGGCTGAGGCAGGGGGATCACTTGATCCCAGGAATCTAAGGGTACAGTGAACTACTATAGCACCACTGCACTCTGGCCTGGGTGACAGAGAAAGACCCTGTCTCTTAAAAAAAAAAAAAAAATAGGCTGGCGTGGTGACTCACACCTGTAATCGCAGCACTTTGGGAGGCTGAGGCAGGCAGATCACTTGAGGTCAGGAGTTCAAGACCAGCCTGGCCAACATGGTGAAACCCCATCTCTACAAAAATTATCCAGGTGTGGTGGCATGTGCCTGTATTCCCAGCTACTCAGGAGACTGAGGCAGGAGAATTGCTTGAACCCGGGAGGTGGAGGTTGCAGTGAGCTGAGATGGCTCTGCTGCACTCTAGCCTGCACAACAGAATGAGACTCTGTCTCAAAAAAAAAAAAAAGCCAGGTGTGGTGGCTGATGCCGGTAATCCCAGCACTTTGGGAGACTGAGGCAGGCAGATCACCTGAGGTTGGGAGTTCAAGACCAGCCTGACAAACATGGAGAAACCCTGTCTCTACTAAAAATACAAAATTAGCCAGATGTGGTGGCACATGCCTGTAATCTCAGCTATTCCGGAGGCTGAGGGAGTAGAGTTGCTTCAACCTGGGAGGCAAAGGTTGCAGTGAGCTGAGATTGTGCCACTGCATTCCAGCTTGGGCAACAAGAGCTAAACTCTTGTCTCCAAAAAAAAAAAAAAAAGCCACTGAGATGGCAGGTCCGTGGAGACTCCTCTCTATAGCAAAGGCTGTGGTGCCACATTTGGCTTCCAGGGCAGTGGAGGAAAGAAGGGGGCTCAGGGGAGGCTGCAGAGTCTGCGCAGGGCTGGTCCGGGGTGTGATATTTGGCCATGGTCCTGTCTACTTCCAGCCTCCCTTGATCTGGTTCAAGCCTCACTCTCCAGTCTTCTCAGACCTTCTGTGAGCTTTTCTAACATCTTTTAAATCCATTCATTCTGCTTAAATCCTCCTAAAATGGTTTCTGTAGCTTACAACTGAGAATTCTACATTATACATGCCCAGAATAGAAGATAAAGTAACAGGGTTCCTGCTGGAATTGTCCAGGGATCAGAGTAAACAGCTGCCTTTAAAACCAGCTTTCTTGCTGTGTCTGGTACTGTGCTACGGGCTTCATAAGCTTTACCTCATTTAGTCTTCACAATAAGCCTGGGTGGTGGATTTTATTATCAGCAACTCACCCAGAGTCACACAGCAAGTAGCCAAGAGCTCTTTAGTGGCACACCTCAGACTCTGCCATCTCTTGGCCATGTCAGCTTCCCCCACTATGACAGCCACCTCCTCATTTCTGCCTCTCTTGCTTGGTCTTCTGACATGCTGTTCTCAGTTCTTGCCCTCCATCCTCACTGGCCCCTCAGCATCATTCAGCTTAATGGAGGGGCTTGATTCACCAAAACTCCACTCCCCAAAAGCGAGAGTCTTCCCAGACCCCCAGGCCACAAGCCTGCCCGCCCTACAGTCTTGCTGGGAACCACAGGGAAGTAAGGGGCACCGAGTGAAGATTCCTCCCCTCCAAGGCACATCCCCACACACCACTGGCTTCTATCTGCCAGCTCCACCCACTTCTGACATCACACTCTGCTCCCAACTCTCAGAACACTTTGCAAAACCTCTTGATAAAAATAAAAAATAAAAAAGGAAATGACCTTGAAGATTTACGGGTCTCCAATCCTGAAAGTCCCCTGGCTTGGCTAGGAAATGTCCCAGGAGGTGGGCTGAGGACAGACTCCCTCAGGTTCCACATGGAGCAGCCTCTACCTGCCAAGCCCTTCCAAGCTCCCATCTCCCAAATCCTATGTCAGCCTCCATGCCCTGTGATGTCACAGGCCTAACTGTGATGTCACCTGGGGAGGTAGCACAAAGGGAGGACCATGGTCTTCTGACTGCAGAACAGGAGCAGATGTCTTGACCCAGACCAGAGACCCAAGCCAAGGAAAGTCTGTGGCCATCGGAGTGGGCTTGGGTGTGGATAGAAGGGAAGTAGGGAGCTGAATCCAGGTGCAGAGGCGGGGAATGTTCAGGAGGCCTCCAAAAGGGAAGTGCCTCCACAGTAGGGGACAAAAGCTGGAGGGGCTGGGTCCTCGGGCTCCTGGTGCTCACTGTACACCTTCTTCTCCCTTTCATTAGTTGCAAAATAATACATACTGCTGGTAAATATTTCAAACAACAGAAAATGTAATAACAAAAAATGGAAGCACTGCCTCCTTCTCAGTTTCCCAGTGGTCAATGTGAACTGTTTAGTGTTTACCCTGCCAGATATTTTCCTTTTTTTTTGAGACAGAGTCTCTCCCCTGTTGCCTAGGATGGAGTGCAATGGCAAGATCTCGGCTCACTGCAACCTCTGCCTCCCCAGGTTCAAACAATTCTCCTGCCTCAGTCTCCCAAGTAGCTGGGATTACAGGAGCCCACCACCATGCCCAGCTAATTTTTGCATTTTTAGTAGAGACGGGGTTTCATCATGTTGGTCAGGCTGATCTTGAACTCCTGACCTTGTGATACTCCCACCTTGGCCTCCCAAAGTGCTGGAATTACAGGCATGAGCCACTGCGCCCAGCTGACATTTTTCTATGAACCAACAAACAGGTAAATTAACTTTTTTAATTGTGGGGGGTTTTTTGTTTTGTTTTGTCTTGAGATGAAGTCTTGCTCTGTCACTCAGGCTGGAGTGCAGTGGCATGATCTCAGCTCACTGCAACCTCCACCTCTCCAGTTCAAGTGATTCTCCTGCCTCAGCCTCCTGAGTAGCTGGGATTACAATTGCGCACCACCACACCTGGCTAATTTTTGTATTTTTAGTAGAAACGGGGTTTCCCCATGTTGGTTAGGCTGATCTCAAACTCCTGACCTTGTGATCCACCCACCTCAGCCTTCCAAAGTGCTGGGATTACAGGCATGAGCCACCACGCCTGACCCATGGATTTTTGTTTTTGTTTTTTAGAAATGAAGGGATTTATTGAAAATGAAAGTACTCTCCACAGTGTGGGAGCGGGCCTGAGCATAGGCGCTCAAAGGTCCGGTTACAGAATTTTTGAGAGTTTATATACCCTCTGCTTTGGTGCCCTATGCAAATAAAGATGATGACGTGAAGTTACAAAGTCATTTACTCAGGGTATGCCCTGAGGAGAAGATACTTCCTGTCATAGCTGATGTGTGAATCGGCCTTATGTTTCCTGCCCTCCAGAGACTATTTTCCTGCCTCACCTCCCTGCTAAGAGATGTGATCCCCACAAATCTTTATGGGATGCAGAAGGACAGATAGTCTTTTTTCTGCAACTGCTTCATGCTGGCTTGGGGCATAGTCCGTACCTGCTGGGGATCATGGAACTCTCACCCTGTTCTCTCTAGTGGAGCCAGGGTAGCTTCCTAATGGCAAGGGGTGGTTTCTTCACCTGGAACTGGCTGGAGCCTTTGTTGCATGATCATCCGAAGCTCAACGGTCTCCTTTTGCTGACATGCCAGGTTTCTGGGTTCTCTCTCCCTGAGCAAACCTAGGGACCCTGCTTGACTCTTCCTCTGGGCTAGCTTACCAAAATATGTCACTGGTGGAGGGTGTCCAGGTTCTTGGCATCTTGAACAAAGAACTGGACAAAAAGCACAAAGAAAGGAAGGAAGGGATTTATTGAAAATGGAAGTACACTCCACAGTGTGGGCGTGGCCTGAGCATAGGAGCTCAAAGGCTAAGTTGTGTTTTTTGTTTGTTTTGAGATGGAGTTTTGCTCTTGTCACCCAGGCTGGAGTGCAATAGCACGATCCCTGCTTACTACAACCTCTGCTTCCCAGGTTCGAGTGATTCTCCTGCCTCAGCCTCCTGAGTAGCTGGAATTATAGGCACCTACCATCATGCCAGGCTAATTTTTGTATTTTTAGTAGAGATGGGGTTTCACTGTGTTGGCCAGGCTAGTCTTAAACTAGCCTGACTTCAGCCTCCCAAAAGGCTGAGGATCCACCTGCCTCAGCCTCCCAAAGTGCTGGGATTACAGGCATGAGCCACCGCGCCTGGTCTGTGTTTTTATACAAACATGGGAACATATTGATACACATTGCTCTTCCTGGGTTTTCTTTTTTTTTCTTTTTTTTTTTTTTAAGACACAGTCTCACCCTCTCCCAGGCTAGAATGCAGTAGCGGGATCTTGGCTCACTGCAACCTCTGCCTCCTGAGTTCAAGCAATTCTCCTGTTCAAGCTGGGACTACAGGCATGCCATGCCCAGCTCATTTTTTGTGTTTTTAATAGAGACAGGGTTTCACCAGTTTGGCCAGGCTGGTCTCAAACTCCTGACCTCAAGTGATCCACCCACCTCGGCCTCCCAAAGTGCTGGGATTACAGGCGTGAGCCACTGTACCAGACTCTTCTGGGTTTTTAAACAATCCATTGTAGGCATCATTTCATGCCATGAACATACCTATCTGCCTCCTGCTTTTTCCAGACTATATAATGTTCCATTGCGGGGTTGTGCTGAATATGTAGCATTCCCCTATTGGTGGACATAGGGGTGGGCTCCAATTTCCCCCTTTTCCACACAAGGCTGGAAAAGACCTCCAGACAGAGTCAATACACAGAGTGGTCAAGAATACGCATTCTGCTGGATTTAATCCCAACTGGGTAACCTTAGGGCAAATCATTTAACCTCTCTGAGCTTCTTTCCTCATCTGTCAAATGGAGGATATAATAGCACTTGCCTCATAGAATTCTTTCCAGGGTTCCTCAGGATAATCCATGTAAAGCCCTTAAGATGGTGCCTGGCCCAAAGCAAGCACATGACAAATGTGGGTGACTATTGATATTGTACATGATGCTTTCCCTAGCTAGGAAAGTGTCTGTGGGTCAGTATATAGAATTTAATACTAAAAGTATTAAAATTGTAATGGTTATTCCTGAGCTACTTTGGAAGGTCGGAATTTGGCCAGCACAATTGGAGAGACTGACTACATTTAGTTTTCTTGCTTTATTTCATTAACCCTTTCCTGGTTGGGGATCACTGCTCTCCTTCAATGCAGTTTTTCCCTACCCCATCGACACACCACAATAATGATAGCTCTTGGCATGAGAGCCCTCACCATGTGCCAGGAACCATGCAAAGCACTCCACACGCTTTGTCTCACTGGATCAGCAGAGTGACTCTGAGAGATGGATGCCATTATTCCCATTTTAGAGGCAAGAAAACTGATGCTCAGATAAGGAAAATGACTCACTTGAGATCATATGACCTGGCCAGGCACGGCTCATACCTATAATCTCAGCACTTTGGGAGGCCAAGGCGGGTGGATCACTTGAGGTCAGGAGTTGAAGACCAGCATGGCCAATACAGTGAAACCCCATCTCTACTAAAAATACAAAAATTAGCTGGGCGTGGTGGTGAGTGCCTATAATCCCAGCTTCTCAGGAGGCTGAGGCAGGGGAATCGCTTGAACCCAGGAAGTGGAAGTTGCAGTGAGCCAAGATCATGCCATTGCACTCCAGTCTGGGCGACAAGAGCAAAACTCCATCTCAAAAAAAAAAAAAAAAATCAAATGACCCCAAACTGGAATGCATAGAAACAGAGAGTAGAAAGGTCTTTACCAGGGGCAGGCCTAGGGTGTAGGGAAATGGGAGATGGAGGGCAAAGGGTATGAAGTTGCAGTTACTTAGGATGAATAAGTTTAAACATGAGGATTATAGTTATTAATATTATATACTGGACATTCACTAAAAGAGTAATTTAGGTACTTTTATCACACACACACACACACACACACACACACACAAGGTAACTGTGAGGTGACGGATGTGTTAAATTGCTTGACAATATAATTACTTTACTGTGCATATGTGTATCAAAACATCAAGTTGTAGCTCTTCAGTATATACAATTTTAAAAGAATCACATGACCCAAATTAAGATTGCAAGTCCCAGAGGGAAAAGAGAGCTTAGGGAAGACTTGCCAGGCCTTTGAAGAGGTGAAAGGGTTACAAATATGTTTTAGTAGAAGGGGCTCCCAGAAAAATCAAGATAAACAGAGGCTATCTTGAAATGAGCTGCAGAATTAACATCTGGTACCCTGCAAGAACGTTTCTCTCTATCTCTCTCTCTCTCTCTCTCTTTCTCTCTCTCTCTCTCTCTCTCTCTATGTTTGTTTTTTGGTAGAGACAGGGTCTGGCTATGCTGATCAGGCTGGTCCCAAACTCCTGTCCTCAAGCAATATTCCCATCTCATCCTTCCAAAGTAATTCACATATTTATTGATTACCAGCCATGTGTCAGGCATTGGACTGTTTTCTGGGAATACAGCCCATAGAAATATGACCCAGACCTTGAAATTACAGTCCAGCTATCAGGAAGCTTGTTGGATGTTGTGAAATGGAAAGTAATGTACATCAGAGAGTATTATTAGGAGGGTAAGGGCTGGGGGAGCAAAGCAGAGCTGGGGGTGGGGTTGGCTGACTCAGGCAGTAAGAAAGGGAGGCAATGGAACCACAGCCAGAGGCCCCACTTCCTCCCTGAAAAACCTCAAAAACTTCTTCAACCCATATCCATTGCCACCTCCAACCTTGAGGCCAGCCAGCTGATTTCCCAGCCAGCACAGCACATTGGTCCAGGAGCTCTGTCACATGGACACTTTTGAGGGGCACCAGGTAAGGACTTCATGTCAGGAAGAGAGCTGGGAGATCATGGCATATAAGTTAAGCAGCTGTGTGGGGTGTGCCTCCACTGGCAGGGCTGAGGGTGGGGCTGACGGTGCTCTTGCCTGGCTCTGCTCTGTGGTTGACACCTCCCTCCCTCTGCCTGACACCCACTTGCTTATCTCCC